CACTGCTTGTGACTGGTTGCCAGCTGGATTTTCCTAAGGCAATGCTTAAGCAAGGCCTGACTTCAACCTCTGTCATTGTTTTAATTGGAATAGCTGAGAGCGACATTCAGAGTTCAAGGAGCATCTGGATGATGCTCTTAGTTACATGATTTAGTTTTAGGTAGTCCTGTGAGGAGCAGGGTGTTGGCCTCGATCCTTATGAGTCCCTTCCAACTTGAGATACTGTGATTCTATGAGCTAATGGAATATTTAGAGTGCTTAGGTTTTCAGCTGAAGCTGATTTGAGAAGTTTAGATCTTGGAGTGATAGTGGTTGGTTGGTCAGGGGTTTGCACTAGCAATGTTTGCTGAGCAAGCAATCAAAAGGTTCCCCCTCACCTTTCAAAATAATGGTGAAAGAGAACAGGACATTTGCAAAAGTTTTATTAATAGTGCTAGATTAAAAGTAAACAGCAACAAAAACAAAAACCAATCCTGATACTGTCTAAAAACACAGATGTTGTTTTTCCATGTGAGCAAAATAACACTGGTAATAGAACAAATCTCATTAACAGAGAAAAAAATCCCTCCTGTCAAATACAAGAGAAATAATCTGTTGCTGTTAATCATCTGGACTAGCTACATTTTATTTTTATATAGATTTATGTCATCAATCCAATGCTTCTGAGGTGAAGAAAGCCTATACGTGTGTAGAATATATACATACGTAAGTGTGCTAATTGTATTACAGCTAAAAGATGCCAGAATGTCCATAGTTGGTGGCAACACCGGTCTATGGAGCAGTGAAAGGAGTTGAAGACATCATTTGCTTTTTCACAGGGGTATGACAGCTGAACCTTTACCTCGTAGGTCAAGCCAATAAATGTGTTTTAAATTTAGTAACACTAGAGCATAAAAGTAGTTTGGAGGGTAGTGTATAAGGTAATGAATTTACTTCACTCCGTTCTTAGTGACGTCTTGAAACCTATTTTGTCCTATAATAATCTAGCATGTCCCATGTTTTAAAAAAATCATTTTTGTGAATGAGTATGTGCTGTTCACCTTGGAGGAAGATAAAATCCCTGTAGTTCAAATAAATTACTTCTAGCTTTTTCTATTTCTGAATCACAACAGTTCATCAAATTCACTAGAAAGAAGGTTCACTCATACCTGCTTGAAACAAGCAGTCTCCAGCTCTTTTAAAGGCTTATTTCTGAAATGATACAAAGCCCTACAAATCATGCAAAGGCAACAGGTACCTGGGCAAAATTAAACATGGGAGAATAGTATCTATGTTGTGTGAAAACTGTAAAACCTCTTTGCAAAAGTTTCAAAAGACCAGTCTGTGCTTCTCGGTATGTTGTCTTTCTTTTCGAAACTAAAGGAATTCAGCATTGAAAAGTGTTTCTTCAGGAAAAAAAAATAAAAATCAAGGAACAAATCCTTATACTTCATGTAAAATAAAATACTTAAACTTTGAAATTATCTGTAGTTCTAAAGGGACCAAAAAGTTTCATTTTATTTCATTAATTCCTGTGCTGTGAAGTAAATGTTGTTACAAAAATCTCTTCAATGGAAGTTTCAGGTCCTGATTCTTGTGTACTCTGTGTGAACCAAAAGCTAATTCAGGTACATTAAACACAAAGTAGCTTTGCACTTTGACTCTTCTACTGATACTTTTCTCTTTAAAGGTCAATCCTATGAAATACGGATGCTAGATAATCGGAAAGCTGGAGACATCCCAGAGATCAATGGAAAACTGGTGAAGGTGAGCTGAAGTTCTCTAGATGGTGTTATTAACAAACCTCTGCTGGGTGCATATGGAAAGCGTAGTTTTTAACCTTTTTTTGTACTCTGATTCACAGAAGGAGGTAGACCAGGTGATCTGATCAGTAAAGAAAATAGGCACAGTGGTACCTAATGCCTCATCTTGTTTTATTTCAGGTTTACCACGGTTTAAAAGAATTTAGATGTATGCATTTCCTCATTTAGGAATGGGTTGATTTCATGTAATTTTAGGTAACTAAAGGTGAGCTAATCTCTTTCTGTACCCTTTGAGAGGTCTGCAGTCTGGTCTATTTTAGGATGAGATGAATCTGTGCTGAATGTGCCCGTGTCTTTCTGCTGAGTAAAAGGAAGCTGTGGTAACAGAGATCTCAAATTTAGATAATCTAAAGTTGGGTGAGGGATGAAAGAAGTCTCAATCTAGACTGTGCACTTTATGGATTTTTTTTCTGTTGTTACAGGGTACTTGTTCAGGATGACTGTTGACCAGTAATATTAAAAGAAAATATATGTAAAAAATAGGATTACCCAGTGCACAGAGTCCTTGTGTGTAGTGACAACTGCATAATTCTGTGCAAATCTTAAAAGACCTAGTTGTCTATAGATTTGTATCCAATATCTTCTGAGCCATTTCATTTTCCATTTCAAGTGGTTAGGGGCTGTGGAGGGAAGCTAGAGGATCACTTAGAAAGAAGTGCAGGTGTTATGAGCAATAGATGCTACGGCAGACACATTGAACCGGCCTCTGGTTTTTGCAACAGTAGAATATTGGCACGTAGGAGATATTATCTATAGGAACACGGGTCTCAAATTTTGCTGCTGCTTGAGCAGTTTGTTCCTAATTCCAGATTTGTCTCCTTATGCTTTAATGATAGCAGAAGGTATTTTTGCTGTAAATGCTTATTTCTCAGCACAGTGGCTATTTTGGAATGTTCTGGAGCTTTATCTTTAGGCTGTTTCTAAATACATTGTAACTTTGTGGCTCATCAGATGCTTATTTTCTTCTTTGGCAGAGTATTATAAGAGTTGTATTCCATGACCGAAGGTTGCAATACACAGAACACCAGCAGTTGGAAGGTTGGAAGTGGAACCGCCCTGGGGACAGACTTCTCGACTTAGGTATAATTGTTTCTGTCTGTTACCACTGTAGGAAATTCCGTTTCAAAATTTAAATTTGATCATGCACATCTGTGCTAGCACTGGTGAAAAAACAGACCGGTTTTCTGTGTGCTGCTTTTATATATTTAGTAATCTTTCTAATTTTGATTACTAAATGTTACAGTAACTAGGAGAACAAAGGCACAAGTAATTTTCTTCTGTAGATTGTGAAAATGACACCTTATTTTGTGTAACTTTGTCATTTTTGCTGCAAAAGATGGAGGGGGGAGGAAGGGAATCAAAAAGCACCCCCAAACCCTGAGCACTTTGTATGTTGGGTCTACTAAGTCTCTTCAGATTAGTTCTGAGAAACTGTTTATGGGCTTATGGTCAAGCCACCGAAGCCCACCTATTCTCACCCTGCTCATGTTTGCTGATAGTAACCTTAAATTAAAATTTATTTCCAGCGTTTTCTTGGAATATGATTATTTTAAAATATGTACCACTTATTTTAATGTAGATATTCCAATGTCTGTTGGAGTCATTGATATCAAGACAAATCCAAGCCAGCTCAATGCAGTTGAATTTTTGTGGGATCCAACAAAATGTACATCTGCTTTTATTCAGGTTTGAAACTTTACTTGACTGGATGTTTGTGTTTGGTGCCTTTCAGGTCACAGGCAGTAGTATATTTGCAGTATTCTCGGTTTCCTTATTTGTGGGATAGCCATTGAGTACCAGCTTTGTAAAAAACAAAGGTTCATAGCAACTGTTAGTTCTGTAAGGGTTCAGAATTTTTCAACTTGATTTGAGTTTATAAAAGCATCTTTTAAAAACAATTTGAATAAAAAGCTTTCAAATGGCTCCTTGCAGAAAGCTGCCATGGTCAAAATATTTAGTTATATGGAATGCTGAAATTAAATCATATCCCTTTAAATAACTATCACTACTATTTTTTCTTCCTGACTTGAGAGGCCCACTCTCCTAGAGATGAGCTTCTGTAGAGGCTTGACTTGAGGATACAAAATGAAAATTAATGTGCTCCAAAGAGAGTTTTAAATCAGACATTCAGAGATGTTTCTTACTATGTCAGTAGGCTTTCTTGTAGTAGGATTTTTATTATTTATGTATTTGATATTTAGGGCAGTTAAACATGTTTTCTTTGGAAATTACTTGGAATGTTCAGTTTTGCGTTGACATTTTTAGCTTGCTTTTGTCTCACATATGTTTTTATAATGAAGAAAATGTATAAAGTTAGAGGTAGCAGCATTTCTTAGTGAAGCTGCCAAAATAGGTTGAATTGCACATTGTCGGTAAATTAACTTTCATCTGGTGCAATTGAAGACATTTTTTTCTTGTAAGAATTACACAAGTACTAAAATTCAGTCTCCTTGAAGAAGTGCGAGATAAACTATTGAATATTTTTCTTTATGCACTTCCTTAGAAGAAGTGATAACAAACTGAGCAAAACTGGAACTGATACATTTTAAGGAGGTAAAGTTCACTTACTCTAAAGGCTAAAAAACACAGCATAGGAGCACTGGTATCTTTAAAGCTTCCATTTCCAGTCTGTGGTTCTCTGCCGTTGATGGCATAGGAAATAACAAGATAGTATTGTAGTCATCAGGAGTGCAAGGGATGCCATTGGCCATGGTGCTTGACTCACTTAAAATCCCACAGGGAAGCAAAAAAAATTTGAAGCGCTGTCCTGTGAGATTCATCATAACTCTTTCTGTTACACTGATTTACTCCTTAAGTATCTTTTAGGGATATTTCTATCTTGTAAACCCAGCCTTCAGGGTGATGTAGCACTTGAGGCATTTACATACCGATTAAGAAGTCTCCTGACTTTTAAAGGAAATTGGGCATGTGTGAAAATAAACTTATTTCACATGAGATTAAAAACTCTTCCAGCCAGTGATCTTCTATAGTTTTGGCAATATTTATTACAAGTACCTCTGAAGTTTAGTCTAGGTATAATGCATTGGACAACAGTATCTTGAAAAAGCTTTTGCTGTATTCATGATAGATATGGTTGTCATCCACATACGTTTTTCTTAAGATCCAGCAAGTTCTCACTTCATAAGAATCTATAATGACCTCTGCTTTTTAGAGAGATTTTGGTGGCACGCTTGCTTATCTCCTCTTCCCTGTCAGCTCAAATATGCATGTGGGCTTAAAAAGGATGAAATGTTACTTATGCAGCTTAGTCCTCAGATAGGCTGGGTGATCTGTTGTTTGTCCTTAGAAAAAGTATATGATATTGGTAACACATAAAATTCATGCCTAGAATACTTCTGAGGGTCCTTTTTGTTTGGTGCTTGTTTTATTTTTTAGGTACATTGTATCAGCACTGAATTTACCCCTCGTAAACATGGAGGAGAGAAAGGAGTTCCTTTTAGGATTCAGGTTGACACCTTTAAGCAGACTGAAAGTGGAGAATATACAGATCATCTGCATTCTGCCAGTTGTCAAATCAAAGTTTTTAAGGTAACAGTAGAAAAGAGATCCTTAATAAGGCTCTCAGAAGCTCATAAAGATGGAGGGCATCTGCTTGACTTCTGAGATCAGATTTCAATTATAAAACCATTTTCCACCTGCTTTCTTGTTCATGTAACTGTTCATTTTTAGCCAAAAGGAGCAGACAGGAAACAGAAAACAGACAGAGAAAAGATGGAAAAGCGAACTGCACATGAAAAAGAAAAGTATCAGCCTTCATATGACACCACAGTTCTTACAGAGGTAACAAAACAGAATTGCATCTGCTTGCTGAGGAGAAAATACATAAATACAACGTATATCTTAGCTGCAGTCTTGGAAGGGTTGGGAAAGAATTAGTTCTACACAACAAAGGGTTCTTATTTGTCAAACTTGTTCAGTGAACGACAACATTAAATTCTAAGATTCTGTTAGTAGACTTTCATTTAGATACTTGATAGATGCTTATATTAAAACCCACTAAGACTGGACACTGTTTGACTGACTGTACTGAACCCTAGAGCAAGTCTTTTGGTACAGATCTAAAAACTTTGCAGCTGGGGGAAAAAAAAAAGAGGGGGGAATCTAGAATTTAATTATCTGCCAACTTTGAGCTTCAGGGTGTATTTTTGGAGATTACTGAATGTAAGGCCAGAGCCTCAGTAGGTTTTTGCGTTTTCTTTTTATTTAAGCATCAGTGAGTTCTATGCAATTTTCTAAAGATTTCAGAAGTTTTTTAAAAGGCTTTTAGATCTTTCCTCACTGTATAATGAAAAGAAATTGATCCACATCTTTGGTGTTTGTCCAGATGAGGCTTGAGCCTATAATTGAAGATGCAGTTGAACATGAGCAGAAAAAGTCCAGCAAGCGGACTTTGCCAGCAGACTACGGTGATTCTCTGGCAAAGCGAGGCAGTGTAAGGGACTTCTGCTTACCTTTTCATTGTGCAAGATACCTTGTGCAGTGTTAGATATAGGAGAAACTTCCATTATGTAAAATAAAACCATTTTGATTGCTGTGTCTTAATTTTATTCAGTTCTATGCATACCAATTACTCCCATGTTTGTTTTCAGCAAAGGAATCCTTCCTAAATCTAACACTTAAACTGTTGCAGAGGGACTGTGTAACTTTTAAAAGTCAAGAGCTTTCCGTTTGTGCGACTTTAAATGAAATAGCTTTTTGCTTTCCTATATGTGTGTAACTAGTGGAAGTAAGAACAGTGAAATTTAGTGTTTTGTTCCATATCTGTACTTACATTCAACATAAGTTTCCATGTACATCAGTATTTTAAAATGCCATGTAGTGTTGCAGACGGTTGATCGTTAGTTACTGATTTTTGCTTTGGCCACCTCCGTGTTGTGCTCCAAGCAGGTTTAATGCAGGTCAGAAATCAGCACATCTTCACATGTGTGCACTGTGTCTGCCCCCCCCAGGTGAACCTAACATAGCCTGCACACCCTTTCTGTCAAGGGTTAGCATTTTAGATTTTTAAATGCTATTTCCTAAGGTGAATATCTTTGAGACTTTACATTTTTCACATGAGAAACACTTCTGTGTCTTCTGTTTGGCAAATTTAAATGTCAATTTATAACGTGACTGTGGAAGACGATTATTTGCCTGTTCTTCCATCAGACGCATTGTGCTGAGGGCTCTTTCCCAGCAGCGCTCAGGCAATGACTGTCTGGCGTTTGCCCTTCAGACATTATTTAGTTTGCATTTATGCTCTGTGAAAGTGATGTATGAGGTTTAGGTTGTAAAACACTTCAGTGTGTGCCTCTTGTTATTTATAAACAATGTAACTGGGTGGGAGGGAACGAACAATATTAAGTAAGATGGGTTCTTTGGAGCATTTCTTTGCCCCTGAAACTATTGTAAGCAGTGAGCTGTCTAAATTTTTAAAAACTTAAAAAATTAAAATTTAAATATACCTTTAGCATTCTTTGGCACTGCAGACCTTCTTTTATTTATTCAAAAAATGGCCCTGGAGAGGGAAGGTGTAGCCTTAAAAAGAACGTCTGAAGCATCTTTTGAAGCTAGTCCTTGGAGGGGTTTCTGCTTCTTTTTCCCCCATGCTCTCTTCTCTCACTGTTGTTATAAGTACTTCCTTGAATGATTTTTACTTATAGGAAGAATAATAGAAAAAAGTATTTTTAAGATACATGGCAAATCCCTTGTCCAGATTAGGACAAACCTTAGTCAAATGATACCTGAAAGTTGTTGAACCTTTTTTAACAGTCTCTTGGAATACTGAGCTTCTGTGAATGAGAGCATTACCTTAATTGTAATGAAGACAAAAATAAGTAGTTCAGGTAGTACTTGGGCTTGTAATGCCTTTCCCAGAGGACACAAAGGAGAGTGTGTGTTTGCTTATTTCTTCACTTCTTGCTTGGGATAAAGACTGACCTGCAGACTATTTTGGAATAACAACTATGTGCAGTTTTCTGGTTCCCTTAACTGAAAAACTATGCTAACTTGGTATCATCTGCAGATTTAACACATAACCTGTTCCATCATGAGGATGACTTTTGTCATTAGCAAAATTACTAGAAATCACCAAGCCCATAAAAAAAAACCATGAAACACTATTTTTGCTGTATTCATAGCGAAACCTTGGTAATCACTGTACACTCATTAAATTGTAACTATTTTTAACGATGCAGGTTGAGTGTACAACTTGTTTGCTGCTCTGCGGCTGGAAAGCCAAACACGTCAGCCTTCTTCTCTTGTCACCAGACAGGCTTATTCTTGTGAGCCTTGCAAATGTGGACAGGGGATGATGTGTGTTTCTACTTTGAGCAGTTCTGTCCTTGCAGATCTGGCTTCCCAATGCAGCCATCAGAAGGTTTGGCTGTTACCAGAGTTACCTCATACATGTAGATCAGATGTACCGAATGTGCAGCACAGCCGTCACAGAGGGGTTTAGATGCAAAAAGTCCTACTTTTTTAAGTATGAGAAATGACACTGGTTTACGTATTATGTCCTTATTGACATAATGCTGACATAATATATTGACCTAATATATTCATATTGATTGATCCTGCGCTTTATGCGTCCTAGGAACTGTGGCTCTGTTACAGAAGGAAAACAGGATTGTGTGGAGTATAATTTTCTTGACGAGGTTGAGAGTGTTGGCTGTTACTTAAGACAACGCTGCTGCTTAGATGCCCAAAAATAGGGGTTTTTTTACCTTTTCTTGAATGCCAGAAATTTAAGTTGATCCAACCTGTAGTTCTCTTCCTTTTTAAAGCAGGATATTGTTACCTTCGTCCTACACCTAACCTGTTCTATAGGTTATCACTTTTGTTCCTTGCGTTTTGCATCTCATTTTGTAGGTTGGCTTTTTTATTTTGCCCCTCCAAGATTCTGCTGTTCTACTTGCTGGTTATTTCTAATTTCCCCCCCAGTGTTTTCTTCCAGCTCAGACACAATCTGATTTGGACAGATTGGTTTCTGACTTTGCTTTCTTCAGGAAACATCGAATCTAATATATTTTCTTTCACATTTAGTTAGTATGAGATTGTAACACAACACGAAGAGTTTGGTGAAGCTTCCCTTCTGAGTGGTCATTCTGCTCTGGTCTTCTCCTGTTCTTTCCTAGGAACCAGGGGTTTTTTCCTAATTACCATCACCCATCTTTCCCTTCTCATTCATTTCCATAAGAATGCCATCTATAGATACTTTTCCAGTACTCATTTTTATTGATCTGATGTTTCAAAATTCAGTGCATTCCCTGCAATTTCTGCAGTATTTATCTCAGTATTTTCCAAGCAGACAGATGCAAAGGTAACTACTTTTTAAGACTCTTTCTTGCTCTGTGGAGCATTATTTTTTTCCTGTAGAAAAAAAAGGCTACAAACTTAGCACTACCTTCTGGACCTCACAGGAGATGTAGAGGTGATCTTCATCCAGGGGCCATTTTATGAAGTAGGCACTTAATTTTTTCCTTTCTTCCAAGTATATAGAAGGTAGAGCTTATCTAAGGAAGAAGAGAAAAAAATCCCACCAGGTTCTTTGCCCTGCTTTTAATTGGAAAAAGCAGGCAAATTTGTGTTGTGATAGTTGGATCTATCTTAAGTATCTTACTTGAGTTGTATATTAGTATATATTGTATGTCACAAAGTAGAATATGTAAGGCTATGATTTGATTAACTGGTCATTTTTTGCAGATGGAACAGATCATAGGGCACATGGAAGTTGGAAAACTTCCAGGTACGGACCTTGAAATAAATCAGAACATTAAGTTTTGGGTGCGAAAGATTGGTTCAAAAATTAACTATTTTCTGTAAGTGATTTAATTTTAGAAGATAAAACCTTCTAGAGGCTCTGAGAGTCAGAAAGTGGAGTGAGAGCAACACTAATTTAGTAACATAAGCATATAGTATTTCTTCAATTTGTTTCTCTTTATATATATGTCATATAGCAGTATCAGTAGCATACAAGATACGTAGTGTGGGTGACTTCAGATTTTGGGACTTCTGCATTCAAAATAATGAATAATAACAACTGCAGTTGTCTGGGGCAAGAACCCCGTGTTTTATAGATTCCTTGAAAAAGCTCTGTCCCATGTATAATAAGATTGCTGCCCTGTCTCCAAAGATAGTGCTGTTTGCCTAAGTATACTAACCCTAATTTGGAGAACAAATGTTTTGTTTTCATGTTGATTTGGTATTTGAATATAATATGGAGTTCTTTGCCAGAGTTCAGTTTTACTATCATGTAAAGCGTGAATTTGGGCTAGAGTGGAAATAGGAAGAGAAATGGCATTAAACAGTGGCATAGGATGACTTGAGTTTTTGCAATTCTTCATATGTTAGAAATGTTGAGTTTAAATCCGAAATACCCTGGGTCTGAAGAGTCATACTTAGAAAGATGTCCTATCTTCCTTTTTAACTCAGTAAAACCATTATTCAAAATTTGATAACTTCATTCATGTCCTATACAGAAGAATGTTAAAAATCTGAAACCAAAACAATTCTCTTCCTTTCAAGAGTTGATCACTGTTTGGAAATTAAGGCATAACTTTTGGGCTTCAGTTGTATCAGTAGTGTTGTGGCAGTGTACTAGTAATGGAGTCACTAGTTAGTCTTGAGACCTCAGAAACAGCTTTGAAGATGCACCAGTATGGATTCATTGTTCATTACAGGTAAAGATGCGATGCCAATCTCTTTTCTGCTCTGTGATGGCTTTGTGCAGAGTTGGGTGATTCCTTGTGCCAGAGCTACGTTTTTCTTCTAAGTCCACATCCAGTGGCCAAGGATTTTTGTATCAGTATCGTGTGCTTGCAGTTGTCCTTTGGTTAGCTTAGTTTTGGGCTTAAGAATATAAAAATACCCTGACTGATCACACCACCAGTCTGTTTCAGGAAAGCTGTGCCATTTTCTGTCATCTGTTCCCCTCATGACCCCCGCAGTGTCCAGAATGGGGATGTTAGAAAGCACATCCCTGCTCAGTCTTTTCAGTATTACTGGATTTGGTACCCAGGCGTTTGTCTGATCCCCTTTATGACCTGATGGGTTTGTGAAGTGCAGGCCAGTTGTGCATGTGGATGATCTGAAAGCATCAGCAGCTCAGGTTAATTGCTAGAAGATGCCGTGAGTTTTGTTGCTTTTTTGTTTGGTTGGTTGGTTTTTTGTTTGCTAGGCTTTCTTGTTTCTTGAACCTTTCAGAATTATGTATCTCAGTACTCAAATGCTCATTTTCCCCTTCACAACCTAAAAAAATCCCAAACTAAGCCAATAGGCACGTTGCAGTAGTATTAGAATTTTGTTTAATTTTTTTAGCCAAGTGAGTCAGTCTCTGTGGATAGTTAGTAACAGTATTGCTGGAGGAGGAGACAAGGTAGGAAATCAGGCTTACCAGAGGGGAAAGGCTGCTTGCTTTGGCTTGGGATTTGCTTTTGCTAAGTATTTCAGATGTGCTTCTTCCTGCATTGAGACTCAGAGTTTTGTTGTGAACAACTTCTGCTGGGTCTGAAGGATCGAAATGTTAACTGCAGTACATGAATGGCTCAAAAGCTGTTCTTTGACACCAGTGCATTCTTCCCTGCACCTGAATTTAAATATATGCTGAACAGAATCTTGTAATGGAACAGTGGCTACGGATGTACAGCTTGCATCTGTGTGTCCAGATTAACATCTTGCATTTAAAACTTAGGGAAAGAATGCCAGAAACTGAAAGAAAATTAATTATGCTTTCAAAATGTTTCAGAAGAACAAAGTTAACATTGTTATGTGGAGCTTTTATTTAAAAATTATGGCCTTGGACAACATAATTAGGAAATGAAGGCCTATTTTAACTACCTGTTGTAATATAACATCTTTGAGATAACGTTCAAATGAGCTTGAGAAGAGAAACAGCAGGTGGGAATACGCAGAATAGGAGGAAGAGTGGGGACCACCAGAAGGCCATAGAAGAGCATGCTTTGGGTGATGGCACCGTTTGTGGTCTGAAGGCTGGCTTTGACTGTGTGATCAAAGACAGCATGTATGCCGTGGTTACCAAAAATACTGATTTGAATCAAATCTTGGGCAGGATGAAGAATTTCCTAATTTTTAAACTATTGGCATGCAAGACTTTTAAAGGTTAGGATTAGTATTATTAGTGTTATTATTGTATGCACCACACTGGGGAACTTGCAGTCTTGCTCTGACAAGTAGAGACTGCAGTCCAGCACAGAAATGCTGTTAACTGTTACACTAAAGAGTGCAGCTGGTATTACAATTATTTACTGTTTCCCCTGCGTAGCAAGAAGGTCTTTCAACACAAAATTGTTGAAAATTGCATTCATTGATATCAGATTATACTTGTTCCCCTTCCTCCTCCTCCCTTCCACAAGGCTATGTTATAACTCTGGAAATTTCCTTACAGGGTATTTAGCTGGTGCATGATAAGCGTATCAGAAATCTTTGTTTTAACAGGCGTGGTCTTAGCTTACTTTATCTTGGGCAGCTTGCTTGTTTTAATCCTGTCTGTCTGTCTTTGAACATACGGAAATCTGTTGGGTTTTTGTTTTGTTTAAAATACTGGATTTGCAATGGTGTTGGAATTGCTAAAAACTAGTCTCTTTTTGAAGGGCTTTTATCATGATGGTTTAAAAAATATTAAAAAAATACTGACTAAACTGGATAGCTGGCACATCATCTACTTGGGATGACTTAAATTTGTGCATGAAAATTCCAGTTTACCGAAAGCAGTACATGTAACCATCATTTTAGTCCTGTAGTGAATGAATTAAAATGTTCAATTCCCAAAATTTCTGCTGAATATTCTGTTTGTATTAAACTGCTGTCAGGGCAGATACATTAAACTTACGCACAAGGTGAAATCTGGCTTCGCAGTTTCGCTTACTGAACACCTATTGTCAGGTCAGGATACCTGCAGTTTAAACAGCCCCGTCATCCCTTTTAGGGTCAAAGAAGGTTTTCAGCAGAAGGCTTGGGGTGGGTTGGTTGGTTTTGAACTGGGTAATCTGTGCAAGTCTTCTGTCAGTCCCACCATTCATCCCTTCGCAGAAGACAGTATAAATAGGAGTCTTCTTGAAAGAACAAGAAAACTGATTTTTTTACTATCTGCATGTAATGTGTGGGATGGAGGGAATCTTTATTTTGAATTGAATTGCTAATCAAAATTCTCTGGGGAGAAAAAACAGCCCTGGCTTTAAGTGAATGAACTGTGCAACAGAGTAAAAAATGTTTTGTCAAGAGAAAGTTCAGTTGTGATTCTTTATCTTCAGTGCTCACCGTGGCCTGATACTCCTACAACGTTTGTAAACAACAGTCCCACTCCTGCTCCAACTTTTACCTCTGCTCAACATAGTACCTACAGTGTCCCAGACAGGTAGGTTTCTTTTCCGTGCTCTAATTCAAGATTAGATACACATTAGATACACATTTTAAAATTAGACCTATTCACAAGTGTTTTCTGACTAAATCCAACTGTTCTCTGGTTCTGCTGAGAAATGAGGGATTGTTTTGCCCTGTATATTTATTTCAGAGTTTGACGCTTGCATCATGTAATTCCATTATAATGTAATTACTGCTGCTCCAACATTCTGTAAAATGTTCCAAAAAAACTTCTTGTCCTTTGTCATACAGCAAATACTTTACCTTTTAACTATTCTAGTTTAGACCTTGTCCTTGGAAGCTATTTAGCTTTTTTCAGTTAGAAGTGTTCATTCCCCTCATACACCATTAATATAATTTGCAAGAAAAACCCCCAGCAATTATCTTTGCAAGATTTTCAGCAGCAGTTGTATTGGTAAAAACACTTTGCATTGTGGCATTAAGTGAACCACTGTAATAAAATTAAACTACTGTAATCAAACTTGGGTGATCACGGAGTAATTTACAGTGGTATTGTCTGGTCTGTATACTTTTGTTTTGTCTGCCTTGTATTGTACTACCTCTTTCTTCCTCAGTCACCCTTTAAGGAAGAAAAGTGGCCATGTAGCAGTAAAGCTGCTTCTCCAGTTGATAAGGAATGCACAGGGTAGAAACCATACGCGTATGGAAATGTGACGATCTTCCCCTTGAGTTTAAGTTTTACTTTATGCAGCATTTGTCTTTCAGCCATGATACTTACTATTTTGTGAATTTTATGTTATTTTTCATCAATGCTTGAATATTTTTCTTAATAAAATAAATCTAGTAATAGGTTGTTGGTTTTTTTTCCTTAAATCCATAGCAATTCTTCCTCCCCAAATCATCAAGGAGATGGAACCTCTCAAGGGTCTGGAGATGTGAGTGTTTGCTTTCTGATAATGGCTACATTTGTGTGTTTGTGTCAGAACATTTAATTTATACATACCTAGATATTAATAGGTACTGAGAAAGTGTTTTAGCTGAGGGAGGTTTTTTTGTGGCTCTGTGTTTGGGTTTTTTTAAATAACCAAATTACCATGTCCAATCTTGTTTCTTGCAGCAGCTTCATCCTTCAGCCACAATCCAGGAAGCTCAGCAGTGGTTGCTCAAGCATAGGTTCTCTACCTATACAAGGCTTTTCTCAAATTTCTCAGGTATCTATAGTTTACTTTTACCTAAGAGTCTTTCTTTGTGTTAGTGAGCAAGTTTTGTGTGGGAAAAATACTTCTCTAAAAACAATATGGCATTGACATTTATTTTAATGTACTGATTTGCTTATTAAATGGTCAGTTTGCATGGGAAGGATTTTTTTCTAGTTGCATTTTGCACAAATTCTCCCTAAACCTGAAAGTGAAGCTAAGTTTTATTTTTCGTGACAGTAGTTCATAAAATCATTTTAACTCTGATGAGTCCTTTGAGAAACAAGAATGGATTTGGTGAGTCAGAGCGGCAGGCTGGCTCTTCTGCTGTGCTGTTTCCTAACGGCAGCCACTGTGCAGTGATCTCAAAGAAAGTGCAAGAAATTTTTAACATCAGCCCCATGGTAGATCTTTTCTTAGGAGTTAGATTTAACTGTAGTATATGAAGCAGTCATCCTTGAAATGCTGAAGCCGTGAACAGCCGCCTTAGAAAGAAGATTTTGCCAGAAATAGCAAGTTCTTTTTTTCTGCATTGAACTCTGCTTCACTGCCATGCAGCAGAATACCTACATGTATTTGCCCTTTTTATTTACATTTCAGCAGAATGTCTCATTGCTCTTCCTTAAATGTGTCAGTGTAGCTTCTATTATATATATGGAAGCAAAAAGTTTTTGTGTGTGTGTGTGTACGTGTATATA